GGGGGGGGGCAGTTGGGGTTTTTTAAAACATTTGTCAGTAAAAAAAATTTGCGGTTTGTGCCTCTACAAGATTTTTCCTCACTTTCCTGTCCTAGAAAAGATGTTACAGCAACAAAGCAAGAATAAATTTCACCTTTAACTAGCTCTACCAGATCAGGGACCCCCATTGAGAAGTTCCCCCTTTTCTGGTAAAAGCAGCAAGTTATTGGTTCCTCTCCCCCCTACCCACTTCCTGTGCTGCACTAAAGCACACAATACTCCCTACATTGTCAATCGCAAGTTTTCATTCCCACCTAAAATGAATGTGCACAATCACATGACACTTGCCTGTGCATGTCTGCAAATTCTCCTGCTCTCATTTTTGGGAGCTGCAAAGAGGGTGCAATTTTTTGATGCTTTAATAGGAGAATGGCTATAGGAGAATGGCTATAGGAGAATGGCTATAGGAGAACCCCCCCTCATTTAAGCCGGCCTGTGACACTGAAGTGTTTTAACCAGCAATCCAACTTAAATATTACTGCAGCATATCCAGAAGCCAAAATTACACGACTTCCATGTGGTAAATCTTCCCATTATCCTCACCTTTGAGAGAACAAATCGGTCATTGTTGAAGTTGCCAGGATCAGCTGCATCATATCTCATGGTGTTGAAGAAAAGTACAGACAAGATTTCAGCAGCGCTGCAGCAGGATGTGGGATGCCTATCACAAGGAGCAAAGCACATTCAGCATTAAACAGGAAGATACGGACGTAATTCCCAACTACAGATCACAAGATGCCTCGTGCTAAAGTTACACCTGACCCCCAATAGTGCACTAAAAGTCCCAGCACACAGTAACAGAGAGAATACAAGGGTGGCCATAGGAACAAGCTATATTTGGTGCCAAAGCTGAAGGACAGATAGTTCTAATGAAAACAGCACATACATTGACAAGAGCTGTTCAAATGCTTGGTAGAGCGCATGAATAGAAATTAGAAAGGACTTGGATAACAGGGAATATCCCATGTGATGCAGGCCAGGTAGGGAAGTGAAAGTTGGTGAGAATACACACTTCCTACTCTGCAGCCTGCTGGGGAAATCCCTACAGACAAGCAATTCTGCCTGCCCAGACAGATAAGCTGTAAGCAGAGGCACGCCAGCTACAAACTCCTCGCAGATCAGTAGCACAGAAGTACTGGAAGCAACTGCACTTCATCCTGGTATGGTTTGATTCTGCAGGGGTTACATTAGAGTGCATCTCAAATCAAAACTTTCTCTCCGGTATAGAAAGTTGTTAGAATCCCTGTTCCTAGTTTATTTTGCTGTATCTCTTTATAGAGATGTTCCATCAAATCCGGGCTAAGACAACAGGAAGTGAATGGATATCCCCACTTAGCGGTCACCGTAACAGGTGTGTGCAGTGAACAGTCACCCCCCCCTTGCCTCCTGTTTTGATGCCTACCTTAAAAAGTTTATATTTTTCCTTCACTTTGTCCTGATGTCAATGGACACCAGAACAAACAGAGGATGCATCTTTAAAAAAAGGATATAGAGAGCAATAAAACCTGACGGGGCTCCGAACCCTTCCCCAACTATATCCAAGCCAAAATAGGCAGCAGCATGCCCGGTACTACATACGCTAACTAGAAGCCTTTTACATCAAATTAGTGACAAACGTGGACAGTGTTTTATAACAATACAAATTATAGCCTGAGCTACAGTAAGAGGAGAACAATGCTTTGAGGCCATGTTCACACAAGCAGCTAGGGCTGGGGTAAAAACAGGCGATTGATTGCAGACTTTACTGCCCACCTATAATGGGACATGGCAGCTGCTCAGGATCGTACACCTTGCTGCAGCAATTTTAACTTGTCATGTCGAGTTTGACAGGTGGCATTGCAGAAACAGAGTCGATCGTGGTATCGATTTTCTGCAGGCACCCGGCTTTCCTATACTAGCGATCCAGGTAGATGTAGACCTCGGCTAAAATTTAACTTCAACTTTCTGAATCCAAAGTCTAATCTCTAGAGCGGTTGATCTGTTTTTTTAGGCTTTACAGGTCGCAGACCTGAGATTTCTGCTCAGAATGCCCTTATAGACGATGTGCAGGCCTTCAAGGGTAAAACGTGCAACTGTGCCATTGTGCACATCCTTGTGACCACAGGATCATCTTTCAGCAGCCTATTATATTTGGCTCACACAAAGATTAGGATGGTATGCTCACAGGGGGTGGGGCAGGGGTTACTAAAACTAAACTATTAAAAAACACAACCCCACATCCAATTACGCCAATACTGCCGTCTATTGAACAATTTTTTCTGCATCCCGTAATAACTTTTTTTTTTTTTTTTAATACATACACAGCTATAACCCCCCCCCAAAAAAACACCACACATGTAAACCAAAAAATTATCTGCCATAGAGTGTAGCAAGGTGATTAGCTGGGGCAGTTTCCAGGGCTGCAATGCACAAGGGAGTGATAATAAAATGACCCATTATAAAATTAAACCTACCCCCATATAAGGCAAGCCATGCGGTCTCAGTGTGGCAGGTCTGATCTCTTACAGCTATGCATTTACGGTAGAAATTAGAGATCTATCTATCTATAGATATATATATATCTCAGCAGCTGCAACTGTAAATGTTCTCAATGATGCCAAAAAGAATCACGGATCTGTTGGATAACCTGCTGACTCCCCCTCCCCCCTTCTATAGTACATTAAATCAGAATTTCTCTTTTCCTGCAGATATCATCCCCCATTTTCTGATCTGCTGCAGATCCTATAAAATAGAAATCTTCCCCAAGTCATGCATAATACTTAGAGGGGAGGAGGAGATCTCACATGAACACAGTAATAGAAGCCTGCTCCCTACAGCCATCATGCTGCACAGACTGAGGCCTGCACATGATTGGAATACATAAGTAACTCCTTCCATGCCTAACACATGGCTGTAGGAGTGAAGGGTGGACAGCAGCTAAAAAATCCACACCAAGTGAAAAGACATGCTGGGCCATAGACTGTAGCGAACTTTCAGGAAGGGTGATGAGCTGGGACAGTGGCCACGTGCCCGGGGCACGCACACACGGGGATTTAATAATCATGCATGCACGTGGGGGGG